GCTCCCACCCTGCACCCGGCCCCCACGTGCTCACTCGTTCCCCTCGCTCGGTCGCAGGAGGTCTACCGGATGGAGGAGGAGACTGGCGTCAGCATCCTCAGGGTCTCCGGCACGCGCCGGTTTCAGGTGGAGGGCAGCCGCCTGGCCGAGGATAGCTTCGGGCTCCTGACGGCGACGCGGGCCCGCTTCTTCGACGAGGACCCGGTGGAGGACCTGGAGGAGCTCGAGGCACTCCGGCTGCAGGCGCGCACCTGCCTGACGAGCTCGCTGGCCGCGGCCTCCGCCTCAGCCATGGGCCCGCCTCCCCCCTTGTCTCTCTTGCAGGATGCGCCCTTGCGACCGTCGCCTGGGGAAGGGAAGGACGGGAACGGGCAGAGCACAAGGGGCCAGCCGCGGTCCGGGGGGAGGGAGCAGACGGGGGGCGTGGAGGAGCTCGCCAGGGCCTTGGCGAACGAGTCCTTCCTCCTGAGCCAGTGGCTGGTGGACAGCTACCAGAGCTTGTTGCCGGATGGCAAAAAGGTTGAATGGCTCCGGACTCGGTCGACCAGGGAGCGCATGAGGGGATGTTTGGACTTGCTGCTGAGGCTCGTCAGAGAGGGGAAAGGCAGGGTGAGGGGATCGACCGAGCCAGGCAAGGAGGGCTCCGTGTGAACCAAAGGAAGGAGAAGAGAGGGGCTTGCATGCCTTCATGGGTAGCTATTGGCAACAAGATCTTTGTCGTACTGGCCTCCTCCGTGACTCATTCTTTGGTGCTGGGGCTGTGCTCTATTCGGCGCCCTCTCCCATAGGTTTCCAGGGAGGTGTGCACGCTGCACCGTAGTCTTTTCCTTCATACGAAGCATGCGCGTCCGTGACATACTATATTCCGCAATAGAACCCAAACCCCTGCCCGTGATGCATCGAAGTCGCTGAGCTCGCATCGGGCCATCCTCACCTTTCCTTGCTGGCCTCTGCCCACGTCCTCGTGGTGGCCGTGCATGCATTCAGGGGCAGCTTTCGGGCACCTCCGCTGTATGCTCTGGAAATTGTCATCCTAGGAGAGATCGCGCAGGTTGAACTGTGGGGGATGACAAGGGAAAGCTGTCAAGAAAGTCTCTTTCAAAGTGGAAGGTATCCTCATCTATTAGTATACTAGGCTCACAAAGCCAGTTCCAAAATGCAGCAACAAATGAACTAGATAAACAAGTGAGTACTCAACACATGCACTCTTTATCTTACCCCCGACCGTTCCATTCACGTACGATGTCTCCAAAGTTATTGTAGAAGCCTTTGTGTACTTGCTTCTCGCCGCCCAGATAACCATCTCCAGCCGCCAAGTCCATGCCGCTCGCTCCGTCCTCCTCGAGAAATCCTCGACTTTGCCATCTCTCTGCACTGGAGTCTTTGCCTGTACTCGACACTTTAAACCCCCGGACCCGCTGCCGACCACCTTCGCGGGGTGGAGCGTAGTCCGTTGTGCTCCACATGGCGAGTGACAGTAAGGCTTCCTGCGGCGTCCCTCTAAGAAATATTGATATGTGCAACGTCACGAGTCTTAGGAGAAGATGCACAATGGTAACGCCCGAGTCGCCCCGTGAATCACGACACCTCTTTTGTGGGGAGGAATTCGCGCAGACAACGTAGGGACCCCACTCGAATCATGGCGCCCTTGGAACCTGCGAAATAATACATCGACGGTCTCCCTTCGTGCTAATGTGCCATAGGGATAGCCTCCTGAGTCCTTGATAGCGTAGCAACAATCGTCGTAGGACATCAAAGACTCACCATACCGCTCCTACGGTATGCTCCATTCTGAAATAACCTCCCCCCCCTCTGATCGCTCGTTCCCTCCCGCGGCCCGAACCCAAGACTCGATGACTCAACACACTCCCTCGCGCCGCGCACGACAACAGGAAGCGAATAACAAGGAGGAGGGGTCGACCCTTCATCAGTGGTGCTTGTGTGAGACGCGCCTCTGTTAGGTGAGTGCCCTGGCACTTGCGAGGTTCATGGAAAACCACAAAACTGCACTACAGCTCTCCTGATAATGTCCCACACATTATTTGATCTAATGATCTTTATGCATAACGTACACTCAAGGGGTTTCTTTACAGACTGTCATGCATCCACCACTTCAACGGCCACATCCTGACTGTCAACACGTAAGTTTTGATTTTGTCGTCTGGGAGCAGTGACTGCGATTTCCACAAGGCTTTCTGTCAGTCCAAGACAAAAAATTAAACATTAGTGTTCCTGTTTTGCGCGCTCGACACCTTCGTGCTTGTGCTGATCGAACCACATTTCTACTGAAGCGCTGGTCGACTGACCTGTTCGACGACTATCTGCTAATCCCTGAGAGCTATGTCGAAACTCCCCTCTCCGTCGATAAGTGTAAGCTGTCAACGATGATGATGAGATGCTCTTCTCTTTGACTTCGTGGTTGCTTACCACACGACATGCAGGTCATCGATGCCCTTCTATTATGCCATCAGGAACATCCGTGGGCCAAGTTTTGGGGAGAGTGCAATGAGCAAAAATGGGCTCTCGATAAGTGCTTCCGGGTATGTCAAATGCGGAAAGATTTCAGGATGCATCAAAGTTGACGGGACTGGCGGCATGTGAGGAGACTGCGTAATGCAGGCTTGTCATGAAAACAGGACATTTGTCCACCCTTTATTCTACCCTCTGCCTTTTCTCGTTTCCACCCCCTTCTGCCGACTGATGTCATGCCTTGGACAGATGGAAAAGGAGCAGCGCCGGCGCGCCAACTTTGCAGTGGCCAGTCGGGACGATGGGGCCTGGTCGCAGATTGTCAAGCAAAAAGAGGCCGAGCTGCGGGCAAAGAAAGAAGAGCCGTAAAGAAATTCGATACCAGTGACAATATGGATCTGTAGATTGCACAACTAGTTGTTGGGGAGTAGGGTTCCGACGCGAGGAAATTCATGGTAATGAGACGTTTAACATAAGTAAAATAGCCAAGCCTGCCAAAGTGAAAAGGGAAACGGGCCGTATTTTCCCGTGCCTCTTCACTCTTCCTGTGCTCAAGATTTGAGAGATTTTGTTCCTTTCGTGACCTTCTAACCCTAAGCTACCCTAAGCCTATGAATCCGGGAGTTGAGCCCGGGAAGCTACACTACATTCCCAGGTCGTCTCCCCTCCCCTCGAAGAGCATGCTGCTATTCCAAGCTCTGAGGGGGCGTAGCTTTAGACACGAGTCGTCCTGCCCTTTCCCCTATTCCTCCTCTCCCCTCCGCTATCTTTTTTTCTCCCTTCAGCCGCTTTTTCAGTGCGCAGCAAACAAAAATTATACCTCAAAAATAGAGAGATTCGTATCTCTGCCCTTATGTTTTCTTCCTTATTCCCTTCTTACTATCTGTCACTGGAAAGGGACTCGAAAAATGTCTTGGTGCAACCTTTTTATACATATACTTTTTATCGTTGTATTTTGGTGGCAAGTACGACAGATGACACGAAGAAAGCTGCGCGCATGAATGATGCGCGGACCCCACAACAGAAGTACCGGTGTACTGGCGTGGCGAACATGAAAAACAAATGCGAAAAATAGAAAAGGGCTTCGCGTACCGATATTACTTTAGAAGGATGCTCGAAAAAGGCATCGTGGTCAGCTGAGCTCCTGGATCTGTGATCACTACATGATTTCTGGAGCCCAAACTCTACGAAACAGATTCGATGGGACGATACAAGCAGCTTCAGCTTAATGTGTCGCTGCAACAACTTGGGTTTACGATACGCGCTACTTTCAACCCTTGTCGAAACAGATCAATCCCCCTTGCGACTCGGGAGGGGATCGTGTCTGTCGTGCTTTAAAATGGGGTATCTGCGGGAAAAGAGACGAATACAACCAGCACCAGCTAGAACTTTTGCTTTCGTAATTTTGATTCAGGTGTGATTTTTTATTTATTTGTTTTTTCACACACTTGGAAAAGTCATTTCTCCCAGCCAGAATTCAAGTCTTTTTTCTCACTATGGCAGCTCCATGACAGTACATATCCTTGCGTCATCTATCACGGTTATCAATGTGACGCAGGTATAGTTTCCCAATCTCCCCCTCCCCAATGTCAGGCTTGGGCTTGAACACCGCAAGCTTGTTTGAACGCGTCTCGAGGACTGCAATCTCCTTTTCAAGAACCTGATAGTTCCATTTGATGCGGTCGTAATCGTGTACCATGACACGAACCCTCTCCATATCAGCTCCCGTGCTCATTGCTGGAGGAAGCTGATGCAAACACAGGCTACCCGCCATCATCGACGAGGCAGACATCGAACGGCTCCCGCTCCAACGCTAGCGGCGCAACCACATACCGAAATAGCGATTTGTCTAGTCTGTTTCTCGGATATCCCCATACCCCTGTCATGCCAACATGCCCGAAATGAAATTGGAAGTGCGAGGGTATCAATCTTTTGTTTCTCAAGCCCACAATCCAATCCGGGTCTGAATCGACTCCAGACCAACGAGGCATCCTCGTCCAGGCGGCAATATACGTCGATTCGCCAAGACCATACTCAAAGGAGGAAGTAACACCCGAGTAGATGCCGCCCAAAAGTTGCCGGTCAGAATCGTCCACACCCCCTTTAATGCGATAGTGAGATGGAAATTCGCTGATGTTGTATATCCGCTTTGGTTGTTGACGAGATGGCATGCTCTTGATGCCCAGCGACCTGTCGTATGCGGCGGCCAGTAGCTCCTCAAACTTTGTTGTCGATAGTCCATGTAGGTCATGTTGTCGTTGAGGCTCTTACTCCCGTAGGTTCATAATTCGATTAAGTGCCGTGAGAACATCCTCCGTGGATTTCATAGGGGACTCTTTTAAGCTGAGTCGAGTGGAGGGCATCCGAGTAGGATAAAATAGGAAATTCGGGTTCCTACTCACCAATTTATTTCTACAGCATGCAGAGAGTCCATAAAAGTCTCTAATATGTTTCCTAAAGGCTTTATGAGGAATAATCGCACTCACTAGTTTCAAGCCCTTTGAACGGCTTGATCGTCTTCCTCCCATCCACCTCAAATCTAAACAACTGGATTGATTTATATTTTATCTAAAAGAAGGGCTCACAAGTATAGATGTGCATGGGTGGGTCCCTACAGACCACCTAAACAGGTTTGATATGACCACATGACCTTTGCTATGACCAGAACTTATGGCAACACTTTCAAGTGTTCGCGCCACTCGCCGAAAAAGAACGAGGACTGCCTCCGAGGGGAGAGTCTCTGCCTTCCAGGCCCTGACCACGGCCGCCCACAGCTTCGCCTGGACCACCCCTCAGATCCGACCATCGCAATATACAGCTCACCATCCCATATTTTTATTTTTCAGGGCCTCGAGGTTTCGCTACGAAGGCAATTCGACGGGCAACCCCTATCACGGCTATCGCCGTGGCAGCTTGTTCGTGCAGCTTCTTGTGCTCCTCCGAACGAGAAGCGGCAGTCGGAGGTCATGTTCATCTTTCCGGTTCTCCTATCGTTGTCTCTCGACATTGCCGTGGTCGCTGTGTATTTCCGAGAAGGCAATCTTTATGGAAGGGAGAAGGGACAGCCGTGGGTGCGTCTCTTGGATGTTTCCGCCTGCAATTTTGACTTGGTAAGGACACAAGTCAGGAGTTGTGAAAAGAGGACCGAGAAGCATTTCCACGAGCGTCTGCGGGCATGTGTTTCCATAAATGTTGAGCACAGTTTTGAAGAGGTTTTGTTGCGAGGGAACCGCCCTGTGCTTAGTTTCCGGCATGTCTCTCCCGTTGGGGATCCCTAAATGCACGAATGCTGCATGATGCATTTCAGTGCTTTACTATTAAACTTTCCCCAACCAGCTTCTTCATCGCTGCCTGCATTAGACCTCTCATCGGAGTCTGTTTCTCCCTTATTGTCAGGCTGTCCTGGCCACCCTCCGCATCCTCTTCATCAGCCCGTACATCTACAGCTACGTCCATCGGCGCCGGCTTGTTTACACCTTCCTTCCGTGGGCGTGGGAAGCTCTGAACATGGGTATTGTGACGGCCCGGCTCGTCTTCCTCGTGGCCATCCTGGTGGCTTCCCGCGCGGAATACCTGCTCGTGGGCCTTTCCTTCGCCTCCATCCTCCTCCAAGCCGTCTGCCTGGAGCACCTCCGATCGTCCGCCCCCCGGGAGAAGCACATCTTCCTGACAAGCGCTCTCAGCCGCGTGGACGCCTCCACGCGCCTGCTGGAGCACCATCAGCCCGCAGCCCCGGGCGCCGGGGGCCAAGACCTGTACGACGGGCACCGACGGGACGTGGACTTCATCGCCAGCATCACCGCCAAGATGAAGGTGCGTGGGGGGCGGGACCGGAGGGGGTCATACCTGTCGGCAGTGCTGGACTGCGCCCTTTCTTCCCCTCTGACGCTTTTCAACCCGACAGCGCGCCAAGGAGTACTGGACGGCCAAGACCGAGAGCCTCCGGGGCCTCTGGAACGACCTGGGCCGGGCTCGGGGGGGCGAGGCCGCCGCCTTCAACCTCCTGCTTCGCCTCTTCACCTACGAGGACGTGCTGGGCGATATGGACGAGGCCTTCGCGCAAGAGCCCTCCTCCGTCGAGTTCTACATCCCGCAGCTCGCCACCTTCCTCCTCTACGGGGCCTTCTGGTCGAGCGGGAGCTTGCAGGCCTTCCTGCTTGACAAGAGCGCTCGCTCCATCCAGTTCGCGCACCGGCTGTACTGGTTCCTGCTCGCGTCCTGCTTGGATGGCTCGGGCATCGACCAGGAGGGCCGCCGGCAGGTGGGCACGCTCATCGAGGAGGTGAGGAGCCGAGGCCAGCGGGCGGCGCGGCGGCTGGAGCAGGGCCGGACCGTGCAGGAGCTCTACCCCTCCCGGGGCAGCTCGTCGGCCCTGCAGCGCCCTACGCAGGCTTCCCGCCGGTGGGGCCGGGGAACGCGAAGCCGTGACAGCTACTTCTCCAAGGACCGCGCCTCCTCTGCCACCACCACGAGCGCCTCGAGCCTGGGTCGGGCCCCGCCCCCCCCCCC